GCAGGTAGTGGACGCATGTTCTGAAAAGTGACCATCTCAGCCCATGCATCCTACCAGTGTGACTCATTTGCAGAGGGAGAGAAAGAAGGTTTGCCATAAAAATCAAGACTCTGCCACTAGGTTGGGTTGATTGCTCTATGTTGCCTGTAAAAAGGCCATTATCTTTCTGAAATCAAAAAAGTCTGCAGGGCCCTCTCCTCCAAAAAAACAAACCCACAACCACCCAGTTTGCATTTGCCATCAGTACACAGGTATGATGCCTCTATTGAGGGACAGCATGTAGGTGACCTTGGCAAGTGGATCCATCCTTTAGCAAAGCTGTACATCAAGCTATACAAAGGTTTGAATTTGAGGGCAGGAGGGCAGACCAGCCATTCTTACAGTAATGCTACATGGAAGGAAATGTCCTGCTTTCAAAATCAACTCTTACAATTATTTACTATCTCTTTGCTTTTTAGAAGACTATGTGTGGGCTAGCTCACTTGCACTTAGTAAGCTACTGTGCAATCTAATACCACTCAGGTGTGCATGCTGTTTTGTTTTGTTTCCAGCATGCACAGAAGCCAAAAATGTGCCTCCCTTGCCCTGGGAACTGCTGAACTGGAAAGTGAAAGTTGGGAAAAGCTGCCTCAAGAAAAACAGCATGTACAGTCTTTATCTAAAAATCACAAACCAACCTACCTACCTGCAACAGGACTCTGCATACTATTTTCCTTCAAAAGTAAGCTTAAAGAAAGCAGCAGTACAAGAACACTGCCCTGTGAGCAAAGATTTTATCTACAACAGCCTTGATAATTGCCTAACCTTTTCCTGGCAACATCCAGCATGAGCTGATCCCAAATATGGGACAACAATCCTTGTCCTACTCCTCTGTGGTTTAGGGGTGTACAATATACTATGACGTGACATGTTGAAAAGCTTGTTTTCATGGCTGAATGCATTCCTCTGTATGATGGGATAAGGAACTCCACTGTACTTGTTAACATTTTTTTCAGGAAGCAACTACAAATAGGTACCTCAGGTTAGGGCAAGACAGAGATGTTTCCTTGATAAGGCCAGAAAGCCTCCTCTCCTTTCAAGTGTTGCAAATGAAAGGAAAAAAAAAAAAAAAGAAAAAAAAAAGAAAAGTCTGTGAAACTGAAAGCTTTCTTTTAAAAAAAACCAAATACACACACACAAGTTTATGGGACTTCTATTCCGGCCAGGGCTTAGTAACAAAAAGTGAGGAGTAAATTCACTGAAAATTTCAGTTGCATCATGAAAACTACACTATGAGAGCACCAATCCAGCAGTAAGCCTGGTTTTAATGTTAAAAAGTCACATGTAACCAGAACCATAGAATCACAGAATCGTTTAGGTTGGAAAAGACCTTTAAGATCATTGAGTCCAACCATTAAGCTAGCACTGCCAAGTTTACCACTAAACCATGGCCCTAAGCACCACCTCTACAGATCTTTTAAATATCTCCAGGGATGGTGACTCCTCCACATCCCTGGGCAGCCTGTTCCAGTGCCTGACACCCCTTTTGGTGAAGAAATTT